CTATAGAACCTTTTGTCCAATGGAAAGGTCCCATTGATGTTAAAACTTCATAGAATCATAGATGCCAATAAACCTTTATTTTTAAGAGTGTATAGTGTATATCATTCTCCACCAGAGGTGACTGGGTCTTCATGTAAAGTGAATATAGTAAATCTTCAAGCTTTACAAATTCCAAAGGCATTATTCAGTAAAAAGGCATTTGGCGTATGCCATGAAAACAAAAGAAAATCCTCTTTATAATGACCTCCCTCTCTGAAGTGTGGAACAGCCCTCTAATTGCATCTAACATGCAATAAAAGTTCATAATTCAGGGAACAATGATGTGTAGACCACGGAACAAGGTTGACAGGCAGAGCACTGCAGAGTTTGATAGCAGGCGGTTGGTGTGATGCTGCTTTCTGTTGTTGTAATGAGAGCACACTGCACCGTAGTTCCTAGACGTGGTGCTTCTGAAGGGACCACTCCATAGAGAAACTCTCAGAGAGCTTTTCATTGGTGCTGATGGTACTGATTACCTCAGAGGGATTCAGTGATTTTACAACGAACCAAATTGGCCTCAGACAGATCCAGCTGTGTGATTTCATAACTCAGCTAGAGCATGTGGATGGCCGTCATGTTGATTCAGGGTTTTTTTCCCCTTCTATTCCAGTTCACACTGTTCTAGTTTCTCATGTAAGTCATATTGAGATTTAAAAGGCACTTATTTTTGAGACACGAGACAATATTCTTGACTTGACATTAAATTATTAGACATTAGACCGTTATACGTCTCACAAATTTTAAAGAAAGTGTTTGGGATTTTTTAATAATTTCCTTTAAATAAAATGTTTTTTTATACAAATTTGACACTTTATTTCTGAAGGCCTTGATTCATATTGAGTGAAAGAGCAATCACATTTTGTGAGAAAATAGAAGCATGAGATTGCAAGTGATACTTGATCATGTTGAATAAAATGTAAACATTTCTTTCCGTTTGTAGTGTCAGTTTGTCGCCTGTTTTGCCCCATGTCTCAAGAATCATGAGGATGAGCATGTTTTCTTCATTTTAGGTTGTCCGAGCTGATAAGATTGTATGGTGATGCATATTTAATAAAATGACGAAATAAAGAATAAAACACTTATTTATTATGACAGAATCATCCTGATTATATTAGTTATATTAGGTAGAAAAAGATACTTAAGGTAACACACGTGCATATTTTCTGTTTTTTTACAGCACACACACACACACACTCAGGATGTAGTTCTCAGTAAAGGTCACTGTGCTGTTACTGACACCCTTAGGTGTGAAGTTCTCTCATCGTGGCATTTTATGTCAGACACACACAACACCATATATCAGCTCACAGTTGCAGATGAGTGTGACGTCTGATGCTTGATGCCTGTAAGAAAGTGTCTCTCGCAAAGAGGAAAGACCGAATATGAGAGAGGGGGAAACCTGTCAAGACTGTGTTATTAAATGAACTTTTATAGATTTTGATGTGAATTATAATGCCTGTTGATTCATACCTATTGCTGGATTTTTTTGTGAGACTGCCTCTCTCTCCTTCTCTCTGTCTCTCTTTTTTTTCTCTTTGTTGAACAGGTGCCACTTTGACCAGCGACAATAGTGCTTTAAGTTTGTCTTTCATTTGCACAGTGGGATGTCTTCTGCTTCTGTGTGCCATTTAGAAGAAGGGGAATGGGCAGAGGGCAGGAAAAAAAGAGAGGGAAATGTTATTTGGCACATCACCCTTGTTGATTTGGCGTTATACAAGAGAGAGTAAGGGCTTGTTGGTAAATATGTAAATGGTGCACTGTGAAGACATCCTGCCTGACACGATTCTTGAGCCAGCGGAGACACAAAGACGTAATTCAGAAAAATAACTCTGCAAGGAAATAAAAAATAAGAAGAGAAGGCAACAATTACAGCTTAGTGTTGCTGTATGGACTTACAGAACATTTTTTCATAACATAAGCTGGCAAAAGGATCATCTATATAAGAAAAATAATTCATTCTCTCATTATGCATATGGAATAAACCCTGCTAGATTTCTGGCTTTTAAAGAAGTTTATTAGTCAATTGAATTAGTAATTTAGCTTTTTCCAAAGGCTCTTAACAACTAACAGAAGTGAAAGTTTGACTTAGGCAAGTACAATTTAATTACAGTGATTAAAAATCCTGTTATGTTTTGAGTTCAAGATATTATTTGTAATATCCATCGGATTTCTGCTTTCTGCTTTGTGTAATAGACATGTAATCATTGAAAATGAGAACTTAAGAGAGCTTAAAGTGTTAGTGTGATCTAACATACTGTATTTTTGTCATTGGACCATATTTAGAAAGATCTTATTTCGCTTCCTGTGACTAAGAGATTCACAAGCCAAGATGAGTAAGATATTATGCATTACAATAATTATAATTTCTGAAACTTTTTTCCCATGCCAGAGTAAGTTTTATAGCATATAAAATTAGTTTTATGTTAAAGCAAATTTGAACAGGTCTAAAAAATATGTCATAAATGTTGGTAAATTGTAAGAGTAATTTAGCCAAAATGTTGGCAAATGTGCCAAGTTCCGCCAACCCTAGTGAAAAAACTACATCTAGACCAAAATGTATTTAAAATACATTTATTTCATACTAAGTATACTACAAATCCATTAACATGTTTACTGACATATTGCTTGAGACTTACTCATATAAATATTATAATTAAACTTTATTTGGAGTGCTTCTTTATTGGAGAATGCATATTTCTTAATATTAAGCCTAAAATGTGTTTTAATATCACTATTAGATAGTATGATCTCTGTATAATATCAGTGTACAAAGAATACTTCCAATAGTTCAACTTTAGCACAATCAAATAAGTATATCTTTAGTTGAACTTCAGCACTATTTCTGGATAACTAAAGTGCATTAAGTAAAACAATTAGTTGTTCCAATTTAGCAGACTTAAACTATACCAATTTAGTATACTAAAAGTACAATTGCAGGGTATTTATATTAAATATATAAATATGTAAATGTATTTGTATACTTGGCATGAAATAAATGTATTTCTAATTCATTTTAGTATTTATTTTCACCAGGGAATGGTCCAATAATGATTAAACCCCAAATACTATTAATACAATAATGTTAAACACGATTTCAAAACATTGAAAATATTTTGAGAATTCACTACCTCAAAATATTGTGAATATTAACCCTTTTATATAAATATGTGGTCTACATTTTATTTTAGAAGTCATGACACTGTATGACAGGAGTTCAAAACTGACCACAGACCTGCAGTGTAGAGTTTAGCTTCAACCCTAAGTAAACACACCTGATCCAGCTTGAAAACTACAGGTATGTGTGTTGGAGCAGGGTTGAAACTAACTCTGTAGGGCTCTGGCCCTCCTGGCACTGAGTTTTGCACCCCTGCTATATGATTTCTAGAGCTGATTTAGGGCAATTTGTTCAGCAGAGTGATATAAGCTTTGTTAAGATTGCATCCATGACCATGACAACATGATGCAATTCATATCATGTACAGAATGACACACAATACCAGCTTGCATCAATCATTGTTTTGCCTAAAAAGCAAGTACTGTCCAAACCCATTCATAGATCCAGTCAGATGTATTTTAGTAATTTCTGCTGTGTAACTCACTTATCCTCCGCCACTCAAGTCAAGGGTTGCATATAATGGCCTAATAGCATATCTTGAAAACAAGAGCCAATAAACAATTTTGAGCATCATTTCCATTCTCAGTGACTTAGAATTAGTCAAGTTTAACTACATTTATTTCAGAAGTATTTTGGCTGTAGGCCATTGAGGTAAAATATGACTCAGAAATTATACATTATAATGAATGCTTTTCTCTTTTATGTGGATAGTTTTGTTTGCAATGTAAACCATTCAGTCTTTCTGGATTTAACAGCTTGTGGGGCAAGTTGTACCACTTTTTTGAGGAGTCATAGCTGACCCCACTATCCCCTATATGTCAGTAAAGTCTTATTCCAAGTTAAAGTAATCTTCATTCAGGGCTGAATGGAGTTCACGTACAGCTTACACAGTCGGTCATATGCAGGAATGAACCAGGAAAGCTTACTGCTTTTCTTTTTACTCGTCTTTTTTGTTTATTGTGGACGTGAAGGTCATACTGTATATTAATTAAAAACCTGATACACGGTTTGCCCTATAGATTCCATTTTATTGTTAATATAGATATACCTTTTAGTACTGGAGGTGTCTTTTTGAAGCTGTCTCTCAAAGCTCTGTTGTTTTGATTTAATTAGCAGGCAAATACTATAAAATTTGAATTCAATAGAACAGAGCAGCAATTACTATGGGTTGTGACTTTTAACGGATCTAGATTCACAGAGCAAAGAAGAGGGGCTGAACCTTCACCTTCAATTCAGCAACTTTAAATGGGAATTTTTAGAAAATGTTCTCATATAGTCAAAGGTTATTTAATTTGCTTGCTGGGAATAATTCACAACAGTGCTTCTGCTTTTCACTTTGGAATGTTGATGAGACTGGATTATTGAAGAAGAAAAAAACTCACCTCACATCCTTCAGAATGTTTTACATTTTTCTAGTATATTCATGAAGAAGCAGGTTTATTATTCACTAAGAAGAATAACTGTATTTTAGTCAGGTGCATTACAAAATCAATTCCTTTTACAAGTTTGTAAGTCTGATTCAAAAATCAAGTTTGTTCAAAATTAGTTGAATACTTTGGTATAAGTAAGTCTGACCATTTTAATTGCTCTTTTTATGTGGAAAAAACTTTAAAAAGTTTCAACTTTTCCAGAAACACCAAATTGGGAAAGCAGAAGTACAAAATTCAGAATTTAAAAATGTTAAATGTTTATCTATTTGTATTTTCCATCCAGTACAGTCATTAAAAGCACCATATAAATCTATAAACATGCATTTTAAATGGTTTATAGAACCACAGCACGACCCTACTGAAACATTTTAATAAGTGACAAAGACTTCAGACTTCTTGTTTCTTGTCAGGCTCCATTTAGGGTTCCCGTGCGTGGCCGGTTCGAGTGGCCCGCTATTGTCCCACAGAAGTCCGGAGGGAGGAAGCGCTTCTTTGGGTGGTCTGACAGACCCCCGCGGCCCACAATAGAGCGGGGCCCAATTATGATGAGGACGTTTTTCTACTTGAAGGTTGTTGATTTACGGCTCCCAGTTCAACCGCCTGCAATTACCAGTGAAGCAGCCATGCGCATTCAAAGCACTTTCTGTATTTAAAGTATGAAGAGTAAAAGCCCAATTTGATGTTAAGGTAAGAAATCATGTTTTAGACATACATTTTGTTGCGTAGTAATTTTATTTGTCTGTTAAATATATTCATTACATACATCACCGCATGTAGAGTAATATTCTGTGTTGCGGCCTCTGTAGGTTGTGATTTCAGTTGTGAAAAAGTTTCTTTGGTGAACATTTTTATTTCAGCAGATCAGTCAGGCCTGCAGGCTTAACCGTAGAATCAAGTGCTAGTGGTAAACAGATAGAAGTTTGTGTCAAAATGATTATGAATGGTTTTGATGGCGATCTACCTCAATGTACACCATCAATATACCATCAATTCTCTACGTCTCTTTGACGATGATTCAAATTATTATGTTTTATTAATAGATAAATGTTATTAAAATTATTATTATTATTATTATATTAATATTAATATTATAGCTATAAAAATATATTACGCTGCTCATTGTTTTTTCTATCAGTTTGTTAACTTTATTTGTGATTTTATGTTGTCAACAACTTTATTTATAATCTGTTTGAAAAAATGAAGGTTATGATGAGCAGCTTTGTTTTAGAAAATGTAGAAAATGTATCTCAGCAAAAAGACAAGTATGAAAATAATCTTCTATATTTACTCGCTTTATGGCATCATTTAATAAAAAACTAGACTATATTTGACCAAATTATGTATACAACTTATAAAGCAACAGGAGTTCTCAGGTAAATACCATTTCTTACAAATATGTCTTTAAATGCGCAAGATGGATATAACAGTAGGCTATGCAAATCTAAATCATTTTATACATCCCAAAATAGAACCCGCACGTCAACTTATCAGAATTGTACCCTTATGTTTGAGGAAACTGAGGAATTTTACCCTGAGGTTAGGCTACTCTGATGTATTTTTCCCTACAGCTTGGGGCAGATGTGATGAATTTTACCCTGTAGTTTGGATTACACTGATGTATTTTACCATAAAGTTTAGGGTTGTGACACTGTCGGGTGTTGTTGGCACTGAAGAAGCAGGTCGAAGGTTCAGATCTAATCTCTCTAATTAAGCCGTCTTGGTTGTAAAGCCATGAGCTCTGAAACAACATAAACATGACGGGAATGTAGACTCCTGTAATAGGGTATTAAATCTCAAAATACCAAAATAACAGCAATGTCTCCATTCACTTCACACAATCTTCCCATTTTTGACCCTTAAATTGTTAAATGATCTTATCACCAACGCAGAGCTATAACATAAAGAATGATTCTCCAATGGGAGTGTTTAGATGCCTCAGAAATATTAGAAATATCTGTAGTAAATATTTGTTATGGATCCAAAACAGGTGGAATTTTGATGTAATGGATAAAAAACATCCAACAACCATGCTCTGGTAAAATATCTTCACAGCCTTTTTTAACGGCATACTGTCATTTATAGATCATCTGCTTCTACACTGAGTGGCCTTCACCTCAGAAACATTCCTTTCTTTGCCATTCCACGGTATGTATCAGCGTGGGTCACTGTAGGAAATGACAGCAAATCTAAAATGAAACCGTATTCTGGTGCACACGATCAAGGTTAGCAGCCGCAGCAAAGAGCATGAATATAAGTCAGAAAGGTTAGGAGAAAAAGAAACTCTACTATTCTTCTCAGGCGGTTTCCTTGTTTCTAAGAGTCCAAATGGACTTTTTTTTCTTTGATATTCTTTGAAATCATGTTTCTGCTACAGGCCACACTGACTTTCCAATGCAAAGACGTCGACCCTGTAAAGGGAGGAATCGTATGAGATCTCTCTACGCTATTTATACTCTGTCCTTTAACCAGAACGAAAGGGGACACGCATCTTCAAGAGACTCGTTGAGAGAGCTGTTGTATTTTTTTATACGACGGATGTGAATTGAAATTTATATAGCCTATTCAAAATAATCCACGCTATTTGTTCCATCTTCTTTGGTCTGTGAAACTAAAAGCATAGATGACACTCTTGAAGTGTCTGTTTATGTGCATGCAATCATATGCCTCTGTTGATTTCAGAAAACACACTCGGCTAATTTGCGCTGATTTGTAGCATCTGATCTTGATGTGTGTATATTTATCTTTTTTGTTGCTTTATTTTGAAAAAGTATCACACATAGGCCTAATTTTAGCCTATATGGGGACTCTCCATAGGCAAAATGATTTTTATACTGTACAACTCTATCCTCTTTCTCTAAACCTATACCCATCACAGAAAACTTTTGGCATTTTTTTAATAAAAAATAAAAACCTTAAGTATGTTTTGTTTACGTTGTAATACCCATGTCATTTTAGACATTTGTGTCCTCATAAACCATATATACAAGAATACACACATTCGTCCTCATCTGTTCTGCAGTATTTGCCTTCACCTCGGTGTACGGAGGGCAGGTGGGGGAGTAAAGTGAAAGAGTCTGTGAGCCTTAACAAGCTCCAAATAGAAAAAGAACATCATTTTCATTAGGCTGCCAGACAAAGGCAGAGGCCCCCATGTTTTTGGGGAGGTCTGCTGTGTGTATGTGTGTGTTTCCTTGGGATATGCCTCTTAAGCGAGATTGTGCATATGATTTTGAGAGACTCTGTGTGTGTGCGAGTGTTTTTCAGGGACTGTCCTCTTTCCTGGCTGCTTTGTCTCTATTGGCATTGTGTGCTGCTCAGAGAAAGGACTTCCTGGTCAATAGGGAGTAGAGTACCATGAACTCGACAGCTCCCAAAACACACACACCCTTCTCAGCAGGCCGGAGAGCAGATAGAGAGAGATGACAGGATGGTGCATTTGTGAGGACTTGTTGCTAGGTGACTGACAGACAAATGCTCAAGTCAGGGCCTGTTTTTTTAAAGCTGAAGTCTATCTTTCTGAAATGTTTGACTGACTTGAATAGATTCACAGGAAAACATATAGGCTAGAAGCACGTCCTGATTTTGCAGACGCGTTCCTGTGTTGTTGTTTTGTTGATCCTGGAATTACATTCATGTCCGGAAATTTGTATCATAACCATATCCCTACACTTAAACCTAAACTTACCCATAACTTATCTCTAAAATCAGAGGGAAACAATGGATGAAAACTTCCATAGTATTTTCTTTTTCCTACTATGGAAGTCAATAGCTACCATCAACTTTCTTTAAAATATCTTCTTTTGTGTTCAACAGAAGAAAGAAACTCATACAGGTTTGGATCGACATGAGGGTGAGTAAATGATGACAGAATTTTCATGTTTGGGTAAACTATCCCTTCAAGTGATTGCTGAAATTGAAAAAATAACCCTATAACAGATGGCTTTGTCTTTTTAGCTGATTGGATAAAGGGATTAACTTGTATTTCTTTACGAGGGTAAATTGTCTTGGACAAATTCACTACACTAAAGACCACCCCTCTCTTTAACAGAAGAGATACTGAGAGTGAGACAGAGAAAAGATAGAACTACATTGTTCTCTTGCTGCAGGGCTTAAGGCTTGATCTCAGGTTTATGAGTCACTCTCTGCATGAGTATCACAGCACAACTCTCAGAGGACAGACAGCAGACGATCAGAAGACCTAGTGTAGCCACACACCACATTTACTCACTACTGTGTGTGTGTGTGTGTGTGTGTGTGTGTGCCTGCTGGGAGTCAAAGTGAGATGAGTCTCTGCTGTCACTAGCTGTCAGAATCACTGCATGAGACGCCACACACACATACACGTGGAAATAGTTTCTTTAGAGATATGACCTGTTTCTCAATGTCTCTTCTCCTTTAGCTCAATAACACACACAACTTGGACACATACCTGTCATCAATGACCAGTGAATGATCTGCCTTAAATCTGTAACGCTCTCCAACACACAAACATGCAGTTTCCCGATCTTTGTCATGAAAATCAAAAGTGTCAGTTTGGCATTTGACATACGCCCCAAGTAGAGAGATCACGCCTAGCCGTAAACATCCTACTAGGACTGACACACACACACACACACACACACACACACAGCTGACCTTGTCATCCTCACGCACACACACACACACACACACACACATTGCTGCTGTCTGCCTGTAAGCTATGTAGCTGAGCTCATTCAACAGCTGAAAGTCCTTTCATCCACTATCAGAAGAGGCGCAGATTATTTATTTCTCTGAAAAGCACAACAGCAACAGACATCCATATACAACATATAAGGCTTTTATTTTGCCCTGTTTAATAAAAATCCTTTATTTTAGAGATTATAGAGAAATGACTTGTCTGCATGCTTCTGGATAGTCTTCCATCTTCCATCGTTTTGGTCAATGTGTGAATGTTTTCCACGTCAAAAGATTAACAATATTATGTTTTATTTAGCCGTTTTATTTTTTGTGCCATTTAGGGGAGGGTCTATCCAAAATATATGGAAACTCATTTCTCTCTTTGGAAAAGAAAAATAATAAAAAAGGTAATCGCTTTTCTCTTTTCTCATATTATTATTATTATGCTATTGTAGCTTTATTTCTCATTTTAAACTAAACTTACACTTCGTTTATTATATCATTTTTTTTATTTTGTATATATATATATATATATATATATATACACACATTTCTATTTTATTTTTACTTTGGAAATGGGATTTCACAGAAACAGACCACAATAATAGGCAAGTGTAGGGAGAAAACATGTACTGTAAAAATTATTGTAATTTTAACTGTAAAAATAACCTGTTTATTGGTTAAAAGTAAGTTCCTGTTCTATATACAGAGAAAATTTTAATGTAATTTTACATTAAAATACTGTTAAATGTACCATTTTTAAGTAAAAAGAACAAATCAACTTATAATTTACAGTGAAAAGCCATAAACTGACATTCCCCAAATTCCCAGACACTTTATATTTGATGGATTTTAATTGAATTACATTTTTTTTTATCAGCTTATGTACATTAGGGTTTTATGTTATATCTTATGTTGTTAAATTAATGTTTATCGCATTATTTTAGTGTAATTTTTTATTTAGTGTAATTTTTTATTAGTGTTTTGTATTTGTGTGAATGACACCAGAGGTCCCTTCTATTTATTAATATTTTTTACCTCAGCCTGTGGAAAAGCTACTTGTGATGAATTTAGATCCATGTGGCTTTAACACCAATGTTATTATGGTTATGGCAGTATATGCTGTTGTGTTTTCCTGGTCATTTTTTTTTGTAAATTACAGTTTTAAACTGTAGAATTTACAGGCTCTGTAAATATATGAGCATTTTTACTGAATTATTCTGGCATAAAATGTTGTAGCAGTCTCTGTGAACAGAAGACATTTGAAAAAAATACCAGAAAATGAATATAGACTTCACATTGGAGCTTGAAATATCAAGAAAGTGCTTTCTAGTTTTGTGTCATATGCATCAGATGGTCTTTAAATGCTAAAGACATAGAGATGTGAGCTGAAGAGTTTAGTTCTCTTTTAATCTCCTGCCCCTTCAGGAGGTTTCCTCATCAATTTTGAGGAAAAAAGGGTGACTTAGCATTAATTAAAGTTCTTTGCATTAATCAGTCGGTTTTCAGTGGGGGGAAACTGAGAGAAACAACAGTCAGTTGCAGTTACCCCAAAACCAGAATGAAGCATCTTTGAACCTCTGTTTTGTTCTTCAGAATTTTATCCCGTTTTGTAAAAATCCTTTTTGCAGGATTTCCTGCGCAGCAAAAGACCGATTTCACTTGTGAGAGATAACTGATGGGAGGATGGCAGAGGATTTGGTGCGCCACAGATCCTGAGCGTCATTGACAAATATCTTGTCAAATGTGCGCTCAGTCCCTCCGCTCCCCATAGCCTACGCTGATTGCAAATTCGAAAGTGAAAGTGAAAAGAGAGCGCGCATTCAAACATCTTTCCCCGTATATTTACACTCTCAGAAGAAAAAGGTACAAAAGGTGTCAGTGGGGCGCTATATTATAAACCTTGTTCACAGCAGCGCCATCTTTGATTATTAACGCGAATGAAAGCGAGGCTGTGAGGGATACATGCATCTCTTCAGTGGGTTGTACTGTTATTTAATCTGTTTTTGGATTGTTCTGCTGACGAAACACAGCAAAAATATCTTTACAAGACATTTGGAAATCTGGGAGCTTTATACGGATGTCATTGAAAACACTGCAAGTCTATCCTTCACAGCCTTGCTTTCATACCTGTCATGGCGCTGCCCTGAATAAGGTCTATACCCTTTCAAAACTTAGTACCTCAAAAGTACCGTCCCAGTGACTGCTTTTGTACACATTTTTTCGGAGAGCGTAGCATCTCCTTGATGCTTTATAGGCCTATATACACAGAGTAGTGATTGATATAAGCTTTATATCAGACTGAACAGACTCCGCAGACTATCTGAAGTTGATCAGGATTACAGTAAAACAGTTTGTTTTTGTAGGGCTCTTCAACAAAGGTATATATAGATGACATTAAAATGATATCTTCCCTCTTCGGTCATCACAGACACTCAGTTTTAAATGATGCTCTGACAGTTAGCTGTTTCTTTGTCCCTCTTTTTTCAGATTTTATGGCAATGTGTGGTGTGATTATAAGCAAATTCTTCATAAATGTATTGTTGGGAGATTATTAGCGTATCTAAAATAATTAACTTCATCAAATCATTAAATTTAGTCCATTGGGATTGAAAAGGGAAAACGCGAAATATATGAGGACCACATAACTCACCATAAGTTGTACAAGCGTTGTGACTGAGCAGTGGTTTTCAGATCAGGGGTAAGTGGTGTGTCTAGTTGCTAGGTAACAGTTAATGTAGACCAAAAATGGCTGTCTCATTTGTGTCTTTGATGGACTAGATATTACATTGTAGGGTTTAAAAGCCAAGGGATGTTGTTTTGTTGCTGTTTAATTTATGTCTTGCAAATCAAAATGCTAATAGGGGCATTCCAGTAGTAACATTAGCAATTGGTGTGTGCTGTTTGTGACACTTTGTTTGCACTCGGACTACACGTGGAGGTGTAGATTTCATGTCTTCATTTTGGGTGTGTGTTTGTTTGAGAAAAAGAAAATAAATGAGAGCAGAAAAGGAGGTACAGATTTACTTTCGCAAAGTCACCCGACGCAATGTATTTGATAGCATAACTGTGAAAAGTGATATGACAAACTGAATGATAAAGAAATTACCCAAATGTCTGATGGATCCTGTTGTGTTGGGAAATAGATGTCGCTTATCCCTGTCCTGCTGCTGGATAACAGAGAGAGGGAGCAGGATAAGCCAGAAGGGTCATAGGATAAGAGGTCTTCTCTGTTACCACAAATCCCAGATTACATCCAAACGGGACAGTGCCATGGCTGGACACCGATCTGTCATGAAGACACGCCCACACACACTCACAGAGGTCTGTAACTCATCTGGTTTGTCTATGTACTAAAGCAAGCAAAGACTTTATTTAATTGAATCTCTCATTCGTTTGCTATTATCTGGGCCAGTGGAGTATTAGCAATCCACTTCAGCTCTGCCCGACATGATATCTTAATTAGAACGTAAATCCCTGGTCTATAGGAGTCATCCAGCGTTCGGCCTCAACCAGCTGAGAGGACAGCAAAGCGGATGGCATCTCTCAAATGTGTGTGTGCACTCTGTCTAAAGGAAACCGCTGGGTTGACAGAGGGAACATGCTTTCAAAAGCCCTCTGGTATGCAGAATAACAGTTTGGGGTTGGAAAGATTTATGCAATGTTTTTGAAAGAATTCTCTAATGCTCACTAAAGGTTGCATTACAGTAAAAAAAACAGTACTATTGTGAATTACTACAACTTAAAATAACTGTTTTCTATTTTATAAATATCTTGTAAAATGTCATTTATTCCTCTGATGGCAAAGCTGAATTTTCAGCATCATTACTCCAGTCTTCAGTGTCACATGATCCTTCAGAAATCATTCTAATATGCTGATTTGATGCTCAAGAAATATTTTTGATTATGATTCAATGTTGAAAATGGTTATGCTGCTCAATATTTTTGTGGAAACCGTGATAAATTATTTTCAGGATTGATGAATAGAAAATCGTATTAACCCCAAACACTTGAATGGTCGTGTCTGTGTTTGAATCAATTGTTGTTCCCTCCAGAGCCGATACTTCTTAAATGAGGAACAGAGTTTTGCTCAAACGGCCTTTGCCTGTTTCAGGTACAGTTATAAAATGCTTTAATTTTTGCCATTGGTTCAATTTATAAATTGTATCCATGACACAGACAATGATGCACTGTGTGTAATGGCATAACAAATCATGGTTGCACTTATTAATTAAGCCACTGTATATGAAAAGATGGCAACATTTGTGGTTTCACAGACTGCCGCACTAGCCTGTTGCATATTCAGGTAACTTCGTTATATATATATATATTTAAAGGTTTTCTCTTGTGATGGGATTACAGGAGGAACCGTTCACAGTCTTTAGAGTTCTTGCAGGAAACTTTTGCGTTCAGTTTTGTACTTTCCTCTGAGAACTGCCCTAAAGGATACCTAGAGGTTCTTCAAAAGGTTCCAGCAATGGCAAGTGCCTCATGTTTTTTCTTCTTCTTTTTCCTTACATTTTCACTGTGATGGTTAAACTACATCTATGTACACTTTCTGCCTCTCATCTGACACCATATGGACATAGCCTACTGTACTAGAACTATTAGAACTAATGCACTGGCATTCAACAACTTAACTTTTGGATTGTGTGATGAAAAAATAACACAGACAGGTATTGTTCATGTGTATATTGTTTATGTTATTTGTTGTATATTTTATGTTGTAGCCTATATTCCTGTTTTTAAACATTCCTGTATCTAGAACATGGTGTTAGCAACTCTAAGTTCATGGGTTTGATCCTCAGGGAACAATACATATAATGATGATGATACAAATATGTTAAATGCAATAGCCTACCTTAAAGTCACATTGGATTAAAGCATCTGCTAAATGCAGAAATGTCACTTTTTAATAGGGACATTCAAAAATGTTCTTTATTAATGTGGAGGTTAAGAATTGAAATACTTTATGGGTTATGAAGCCTGATTTATGTGTGTCTTTATCTGTTGTTTCAGAGGACAAGTAGATAACAGAACTCTTTGTATGAGTGTCACTCCTTATCTTTACTCTCCCTCTCTTTCTCTCTCAGTCGTTCAGGGATAGCGGTGTCAGGCATTATATGCGTGCAATCCGTATTATTCAGCTCGTGCGCGCTCCATCCCGGGCTCGCGCTTTGACGTGACGCAGTGTCATTTCGCCACTGAAGTTACGGAGCACAAGTAAAGATTAAGCGGAACGAATGATTCACCTCATTTTATTTGCGCGATAAATACCAAGCATAAGTGTCTCGTTTTGTTTTTAAGTGGGGGCAGTAGTTGTTTAAACAATTTTACTGAATATGAAATGACAGTTAGCCTATTTTAAGAGTAATGGATTAGGCTATTTAACTAATATAGGCCTAAAAAAAATCGACTTTCCCCCCTCACAACGTCAATGTTTTTAAAGTCATTATTTATTGACGAGAGTCGTCGAATGATATCAAAAGCCTATTATTATATAGGCCTACTGTGACTTAGTAGAAAAAAAATATTCCTTATATGTTGAGGTTACAGTAGGCCTAGCCTATGTTTTATACTGTATCAAAACGTAGCCTACAGAACTCTGAATATTTCAGCACTGCTTCTGACCCATTGGTAGCCTATTGTTTCTTTTTTTTCCCAAAGAATGGCTCATATAGCCTACTTAGGGGACTCGCAAATCCTTTGTTTTGGGTTATTTTACTGGTCGGCGTGGTCGGCGCGGTAAAACCGTAATGAGATGGATTAAATAGACGCTTTAATCGTCTTATTGTGTCTACCTCTCATTCTTATGGCCAACTGTCACGTCATTATTGTTTGGTTTTAACCTGCTCGGGCCTATGGATAGGCCTAATCGATTTACTGTTGCCAAACACAAGACGATCCTCCGCCTAGATTTAATAGGCTGGACATCTTTACGTGTTCTATTTTTGACAGTCTGTCATTCTGACGTGACTGTTTTCAATCGCTTTGTAACGAAGGGGTGACATGCGATAGGTTTACAGTTAACAAAAAAAAGTCTTCCAACTAAAATTTTAATTACCGTTGGACTTTTTCATCACTTTGAATATTACTGATGAAGAAAATCGAGTTTCTAAATGACTATAAACATATATATATATATATATATATATATATATATATATATATATATATATATATATATATATATATATATATATAGGCCTACATACACTAGCCTATAGATTTCTAGATTTTCATACACTAGATTTTTATTTTAAGTTCCCTGTCATATACAATGTGAGGTCACTCAGAATGTCAGTCTCAACCTGTAAAACGCATCCATGTATATTTTATAATAGCTGAGGCGTAGCTATTAAAATCCTTTGGACATTCGGATTATCCTGCGCGAGACGAGCTAGAGCTGATGGCAAAAGACGAACAATTTCATGCCTAACCCTACCTGGATATAAAACATGCAAAAAGCACTTTCGGTTGAAGTTATGTGTATATGTGAAATAATAGCAGGCCCTTCCGACAGACTGAACTTTACCTCTGAAACGAGGCATGCCTTAATGAGACCGGACACTTTTAACCATATTTCATCTTAAGAGAGCACAAAACGAAGTGCGTGATATTAAATCAGAGGACATACTGATAATTGAATCTACCTATCGACTTTATGTGCGGTTTGGGGTTGTGAGATAGTCCTGCCGCACAAGATATGCTGTTATCCATGGTGCAGTTCATATTATAGATATTTCGTGCATAACATGATGTGCCACATTTCTTTCTACATCCTGACAGTTTTTTTTTTTTTTTGTCTTCCTAACGAGATCTTACCATAATTTTAGAGATGACAGCTTATACTGACAACTCACGCTCAACTAATTTTTCTTCTTCTGTGCATTTTTAAATTGAGATTCCTTGTTTTGGGATATAAATTTCGTGCTTCATGACATTTTTAGTTTATTGAGAAATAATTGTCTTATTAATAAGTCTATACAGTGTTCTGAACACTTTAAGGTTCTAAATCTTGAAAACAGAAATGTTATGCGTTTCGTAAAAGCAATTCATTCATGTTTTCGCTGTGAAAATCATGCAAATATTTTGTAAAAAGTGTAACTTTGAATAAGCAATCATTTTTATTCTTTATAGCCTATATGCTTTTCATAGAAAGTCTTTCTAATGTCTGCTGTATTTTAACAGACACTCTTTCCCATCGTTTTATCGACAACTCAGAGGGGGTTGCTTCCAGATTTCCACCAAACGACAACATTACATTCGGCGTCTCTGAGCAGCACAAACGTAAAGGTCAAAATGACGCTTTGACGTTTTCACTGAAAGGCGCTGTCGCGCGCTGGGTGGTGCTGAAATCTAGTGCAGCTTCACGCGTGATTGGCAAACCTGACAGTGATTGACGTGTGTCCATGGCAACCAGGCAGCCAATCTGACAACTCCAATAGAATAGCGGCAGCAGGGGCTAAATGTTCTTTTATTTTGCTCCTCAGAAAACACCTTGCTTCCAGTTTTTTTATGCTCACACTCAATCAAAGAAGAGATTTTGCCGTCCAGGCTGCTTGAGCCTGCCGCACGGCATCGCTCTTCAGCTCGTTTGGTGACACGGCTGTTAACTTTTGCCGTTTTCTGACAGACAGGCTAAACAAAAAGACGGGGGAGACAGACGAGGAGCAACATCAGAAAGGAGGGCCAAAGAAGAGAGAGATTACAGTCTCCATGTTCCAGCTGCCCATCTTGAATTTCAGCCCCCAGCAGGTCGCGGGGGTCTGCGAGACTCTCGAGGAGAGCGGCGACGTGGAGAGGCTCGGCCGCTTCCTCTGGTCACTCCCGGTGGCGCCGTCCGCCTGCGAAGTCCTCGGGAAGAACGAGTCTGTCCTGCGCGCGCGCGCGGTCGTGGCCTTTCACGCGGGCAACTTCCGCGAGCTCTACCACATACTGGAGAACCACAAATTCACCAAGGACTCACACGCGAAGCTGCAGGCGCTCTGGCTCGAGGCGCATTACCAGGAGGCGGAGAAACTCCGTGGGCGTCCGTTAGGACCCGTGGACAAGTACCGCGTCCGAAAGAAGTTTCCACTGCCTCGGACGATATGGGACGGTGAACAAAAAACACACTGCTTTAAGGAGAGGACGCGGCATCTGTTGAGAGAGTGGTACCTGCAGGACCCTTACCCGAACCCGAGCAAAAAAAGAGAGCTGGCGCAGGCGACTGGACTCACACCCACACAAGTGGGCAACTGGTTTAAAAACCGGAGGCAGAGAGACCGGGCGGCAGCGGCCAAGAACAGGTATACAGATCTCCTCTGAACTGGGATATTCGCTTTTATTATTACTTTACTGTCATTATTTTTATCCCTAAGAAATAAACATTCGATTTCGTTGGAGTTTCTTGTGGAATTTAACTTAAAATGAATGTCTAACTCGACAGTAGTTGGCAAAGCTGCTTTTGTTCACGTTACCAAAATGTGCTAATTATTTTACATTACATGCTGATGCATACTATTTCATGACGGAATGCGGTTTATGATAATAGAAATACTACATAATAGATATAACAAATAAAAAAATATTTTCTCAGAGTTATGAAGATGCTAATGTGTCGGATCTGCTCTGATTCTCACTTCCTCGCTTTATCAAATCGTTAAATTGACAGTATGTTTTAAATTCTGTAATTCAAGGTTGGTTTTTATATGCTGAATATATTTCTAGTTATTTTTTTTGCACTATAAGAAAATAATTGCATGTATCTTTGTTTGAAAATAACATACACTGTAAAAATTATATGATCAATAAGTTGACATGTTTTTCAACTTTTTTTAAGTTATACAAGATACAACAACTTTTTAAGTCAGTTCAATGTAATTTAAGTTTAAATGACTTAAACATCCAAGTTTTTTTTTTTTTAACAGTGTATGGTATTGAAGCTGTATTAACGCTTTAAGAAAAGTCGGCATTTGATATTAGTTCATGCAAATGCACTTACAACCTCTAACATTTTCGATTGCTTTAAGAGCATATCTTCGTCAAATGATTTTTGTAGTTTCCCACACTCAAACAATTAAATCTTAATCCAAGACTGATGCATCAGATATCTGAAGACATTTTCACTCCACTGTAAGCAAGGAGTGTAGACCTACGTATCCTCATTGACATTTTGTATGGTTTCACCCCTGTAGGCTACAGCAGCAGGTTCTGTCCGGTGGCTCGGTCCGATCGCTGGGGGACGATGACACCACAGTAGACCGCCTGGGTCCCGCCTCAAGCCCAGAAGTCAGTCTCTCAAGCAAGGCGGCCATATCTACCATCTCCATCACCTCCAGCGACAGCGAATGTGACATCTAACGTGCCAGGCTTCAAAAGAGCAAACAGAAGAACTGTAAGAGACAATCTAACAACTACAAAAATCCAGTGCCTGCAACCGGCCCAAAGAGAGGCTAAAATGAAGGATGGAAAAATAGCGTCACACAACTTCATTTTCCAACCGTTGATGTGATGAACAAAATGCGCAGTAGGCCTACTTCTCAAGAAGACAGGTAAAAAGGGAGTTTTTGAAAGACAAAAAAAAAGAAAAAGAAAAAAGAATGTTCAATATCGGAGGGCCAAACCTATTATTGTAGGCAATGTGTGCGTACTTTATCATGAAAAGACTGAATAATGTTTTAATGTCCACTTGTCCTTTTTAATATATAAACGATGTTTATTTGATTATTTAAAATTTCATCGGCCCCTAGGCCTTTTATTTGTGTGCTTTTTTATCATTTTTGCTGTGCGTAATGCTGAGCGTTGTGAATTTGAAAAAATGATAACATGATTAAAAAAATAAAATCACTGTTGAATTAAATACGATCGGAATTTCGCAAATGTATTTTTTACGACACTTATTCCAGTGTGTTCAGTAACAGGCTAATTAATCAAATTGAACCATGTAGCCTAAAATGTGTTATTTCATGTTTATTTTTAATGTGGTCCATGTGTCAACCCGAAAGTAACAATATGCAGTTTAAAATGTGAATGTCACATGCTGCAGAACAGATTTGGAACAGATGGGGATCAAATATGTTGCATGTTTTAATGCCTCTCTGCGAGCTCAATCTCTCTCACACTCGAGCGGTAATTGGCTAAAACGCTTGGCGTGGTGTAATGCGCTCTGACAGCACAGGGTCAGAGAAAGGCCGCGACGCTCTCCCGGATGTCAACACAACCCGAGCTGTGATCTGCTGTTTAAATATAACCTATATATGGCCCAAGCAAGCTTCATACAAATCATTTATCAAAGGAGTTTGGCACTGCTGCGAATTGATGAAAAAAAATGTATAAATTTAATGTGATTTGGATTGTTTTATATAGCGTCTATAATGACTTATACTTTTATATTTTTGTAATAACTATATTTTTTCGCCTTTGTGGCATTGTTCGGATGTACATTTTCTTTAAATCTATAGGTTAATTCGCCTTGTGGCATGCATTGTTCAGATTTAAATTCTTCGACTGCTATAATTTAATTACAACAAAATACTGTAAAAAATGATGATCAATAAGTTATAACATAGGTTTTTACATTGCTTTAACTCATCAAAATAAGTTAAACAATTTTCAACTTTTATTTATAAGTTATACAAGATTCAACTCATTTTAAGTCAGCTTAATGTAATTTAAGTTGAAATTACTTAAATATCCAAGTTGATTGTACTTAAAAAATTAACGCATGAACTTAAAAAATTATTACTTTTTAATACAAAACTTTTTATTTTCAAAAAGAATGGTTTGTCTTTGTCAAGTGCCAAGGAGGAAACGAAGGCCTATTAGTTTTTTTAGCCCTATATCCTTCCAAATTATTCATATTTAGATGAAAAATAACTGTTTATAAATGTTTTATATTATTTTAAAAGCACGACGACAATGTTTTTAGTGCTCAAATCTGCTGAAGATGTTTATGTCGTAGGCTAATTGAGTGAAGGAGCAGCCGCAAAAACACAGCGCCTCTGTTTCCCAACTGCCTGAAGGGTTCACGGCGCGCACCTGGGTTTAACCCGCGCCATTCATTAACGCTCCCAATAAAAAGCACAAGCTGTATTTTTCAATCCTCTTTCAGTCTGAACAACGGCGGGGCCAAACCAAGTGTTCCTTCCGAGAAAAAGGACAAAATAGGAGCCAAAGCAAGGGAGGGGAAAGGAGCACGGCTTTATTTTAAACACTGGATACAAAATGGTGGAGAATTTCCGTTTCTTTTGAGTATGGGGAGTGCAGGGTGGGACGATGAAAAAGTCTTTTTTAGCAGTCAATAAGGTTGTCAAATTGGTCAACGGTAATCAGCACTAATGACGAGTTGGAGAGGGCCGAGCTAACAAAGAACCACCCCGCCTTTCACTCCCCAAACCTCAGCATGAAAACTCTCCGCCGGGGTTGCCAGAGGTACAGAAATCCAAACTTTTTTCATTTGTGTGAGTGTGTGACGTTCTGGGACGTTTAATTGAGGAGTTCACTGTCTAGAAGTCTATCTAAGTAGCCTATCTAATCTGATAATAACAATAATAATATAAGCTACCCAATAAACCTTTTTTTTTTTCACTTTCGATTGAACATTGAAAAAACCCCAGAAATGTAAGTTATTTACGTTTCTATAGTTGTCATTCTGCAAGTGGAATGAAAATGGTAAAACATGCCTCAAAAATAAACTTTTTAAAATAACGCTAATGTAGAAAAGGACGTATAGCTACTACATACATATACACATGTGTGGGAAAATTTAAAATTTTCAAGTGTTGTAAATTCCTCTTAGTGAACTTCGATTTTTCTATAATTTGCAATTGTTTGTGTGAACTACATTTTTTTGTTTCAGTAGTCTGCAAAATTATACTTGAACGTTGCCTTTTGTGCTTCAATCAAATAGCAAATATCCAATTCATTTGTCCAAAAACGACTGCAAACAAGCCTCTTTTTGGAGCACTTAACTGGCTATCCTATTTGCTTAAAAAAAGTGCTATGAACTCTGGTATACTTTGATATGGCAACACTTACATTGTTTTCTCCCTTAATTAGCCTAAATAACATTGGCTAAAAGCGTCTGCTAAATGTAAAAATATAAAGCAAACATAATCTCTAACCGTCAGCATTGGAAATGTGGTCCTATAGGGTTCATATTTGTGCTTTGGTCATAAATGCATGCTTATTTTGTAGAATTTGATTTTGGCTGCGACCTCTGGTGGTCAAATGTGGCGTGGCATGACTTCCAGCTCAATGCCCTTTTTAGTCGGGCGGATCCACTGCCTGCATCATCATGCTGAAACAAAGGCCACAGAACAACCATAAATGGAACTGTATAACTGGAAAATATATAGGTTATAAATGTTTATTTGTTAAGCGGGTGCTTTCATCCAAAGCGACTTACAATGGTGTTCATTATAGGGAGGCACGAGAAGTGCCTCAATACGTTTCCAATTTTTTTCACGAAAGTAGGATCTACAACGGAATGGATGGGGGGCAAGTGGGGGAAGCGTTCAAGAGTGTTCTAGATCATTTAAAAGATTATTCGTCCATTTGAGGTCCTACACAGACATAGCCTACCACACAGACTAGGCTACATAAAATCATGGTCCAAACTTACATGGATATCTCTACATATCTGACTCTGTATGTCAGTGAAATCCTTCCTCTCTCACACACACACACACACACACACACACACACACACACACACACACACACACACACACAATGTTTCGCTTATGTCAATAACAGAATCGCACTCAGTGAAATAGGCGCCATTCAGCACCGTGGACAGCTACACGACAGGAACCCACAATTTTCAATTGCCCTTGCGTTGGATAGGCTATTGCATTTATTTATACCTCTTTAAATCACATTAAAATAATTTTGTCATATTTTAAATCTACACTTACATAAGCAAAAGTAAAGGAAAAGTTTACCAAAAATTACAATTCTGCCATAATTTACTCTCGATCCAAACATAGGATATGAAGTTCTTTCTTCTGCAAAACACAAAAGAAGATCCTATGAAGAATGGTTCAACAGTTTTTGCCCATATGAAAGTCAGTGGGGTCCAAAACAACAACAATGGACTTGGATAACCTATCCCTTTAACGGGATAATCCCCCAAAACTGAAAAATCTCATCATTCACTCACCCTCATGTTGTTCCACACCTGTATGCGTTTTTTTCTTCTGCTGAACACAAAACAAGATATTTTAAAGAATGTTGGTAACCAGACAGTTGACGGTAGCCATTGACTTGAAGAAAAAAAAAGAAGAACTATGTAAGTCAATGGCTACCGTCAACTTTAAAATATAGGTATTATTTTGTGTACTCATACAGGTTTGGAACAACTTAAGGGCGAGTAAATGACAGAATTTGCATTTTGGGGGGGGGGGGGGGGGGGGACTATCCCTTTAAGGCCATGATAAACCTATTGCACTGTTACAAATTTGAATCAACTTCGGGTTATTTCTGACTTTTCCGGCCACATTAAATCTAATTATTGAAATTTATTTAACACATCTAATTGTTTGGCCCTAACAGATCACATTCTAATTTGACTAATTATTGGAATTATTGAAACACTTAAGCTATTAAGAATTATCTACCAGGTCACTCTTGTAAAAGGTATTTTGATCTCAATGAGGTTTTGTTTGAAACCTGCATGGTTAAATAATTAATGTTGTTATTAAATAATAATAAAATTGATGAACAAATCGTCATAATAGATTAACCAAAAATTCATAAAGCACAAAAAGGTTTTCACGATTTTTTTTCCCACAAAGTTCCTGAACATTTCATAATTATATATAAATATATTAATTTGAGGTTCTTAATTAGCCTGGTTAAAACCAGACCATTCTCATTTGTAACTGAGTTATGGTCTGGCAAAGCGTCATAGACAAATCATTTCCAGAGGGGCGTCACCAACGGACGTAGCGGATAGACCTAAAACCAATCAGAGCGATGAAGGAGATGACGTATGCAGAGCGGCGGAGAAACATCTCCGAGTGTTGTTCTTTGCTCGGTTTTTAACAAAAAAGGAAACGTTCAAATCGCTTAAAACACACGCGATAGCTGATTCGAATGAGTGATGTTCGACGGCGGCATCCATCTTTGTAATGTAGGCTACAAAATCTGCTTCAAAATCCCAGCGCTGTTGTCATCGTGTAAAGCCCGCCCCAACGTTTCTGATTGGTGCCTCGATTTCGACGGATTGGAAATGGGCTTGAATGAGCTCTTTCTTTGCCAGACTAATGCCGCGTTCCAGGCAACCTGTAACCCTTGTTTTTCCAACCTTACCCGTGAAAGTGCACTGGAACAGCAGTCAAACCCGTGACTTCCCACCCGTGAACTCGTACTAGATCGATGTACTCCCAGCTACGAGCTCTGACGTCACATAGCCCGCGAAACCATACAAAACAGCAATGGTTTGTTTACATATAGCTACCACAATTCCTTGCGCTCAGGTAGTTTGGCGTGACTGGCTTGGAACGCGACAAAGTCGTGAGTCGTAGTTTGAAGTCGTGATTTACGTGCTCAAAAAACTGCCTGGAACGCAGCATAACTTTCAGAGCAAATCTAAATTTGCCGGAAGTTGTCTGGGTTTTCCCAGGCTAGTTCTTAATGGCTGTGCAGCATGATGTGTTGTGATGTCTGATGTGATGTATTTTTTAGTCTGATCTTTACAGACAAATCAATAATGAGAGCGAGTTTTCGTCTGTCTTGCCAAGATACAAAACTGCTTTTCGACCGCGGACTCGTAACAACTTCTAACAAGAACCGGAAACTTTAAGTCTCCTTAAAGTAAAAACAAATATGAATTGAATTCCAGGGGCAATCGGTGAAGTAATCAATGATTATGACAGAATGTTGTCGTCTCTTGCAGTCAGAAAAAATAATGTCACATAAAAGCTAGCTGTCAGAAGAAAACTAGCACGAGGGTTATTGAAAAGCGATAGTCAGCCAGTAATTGTGCTCGATCTGAAGCTTTAGTCTCGGACCTTGACAGCTTCTCAATACACTAGAGCTACTTGACTGTGACCGCCTCTCATTGCTTCCACTAAAAATAAGAGTATGTTTACTACAGCGACAATCAATCTGGATCAATCTAGAGAAATAGGCACAATTCTGGCAACTCAAAAGCTTCGTAACTTACCTTCGTAAACTTACCTTACCTTCGTAACTTACCCCGATCTAGTGCTCGGGAATATCCACGAGGAGACAAACTCCTACAGGACAACCACAAAATTACATCTGAACTTTATACAGGTAGGCTTTACACTTACATAGACAAGTGTTTTATAATGCAACAGCTTAAATCGGTCGCTAGGGGGAGACAAATACCAAATACCTGCTCTTCATTCTCCAAAATCTCTAAGCTTTGCCGTTAGCCTACTACAGAACTGATATACACACATCATTTATAGATAATGTGTGTGTACAACCTCCTATAATTGTTTGTAGGCCTATGTCTAAGACTGTTTTTCTTTGCTGTTCTTATTTGTCTTTTCCTATTATTTCCGCGTCGCATGAATTTCTCCGTCCGTCTCTCTTAATTTTAGAATTTTAAAGCTATCTATAAATTTATAGATCAACTTATATTCGTCTTTTAACGTATAATTCGCTGTTTTCACCCATTTGCTGTGATTTAGAATAACAGAAGTGCAAACTCCAGCCTTCCTGATTCGAACTAGGTTTATGCTTAACATTACCACCAGAGGGCAGAAGAGACATTGTGGTATAACCCTGCAGCCACAGTAATTATGGTTATTACAAGCTCCTGCTAAGACTAATGAGATAATGAGTCAAGACAACCGAGTCAATGTGTTAGCAAAACAAAGTGTGCAGACATTTAAAATGTGTCCGACAGGCAAATGTGTTTTCGGATGCTTATAAATTCCCTACTGTTTTATCATGAAATTAGATAGGCTATGTCTGTTTTAGAAACCTGTTCATTGAAATATTGTATGTAAAGCTGATAATGCTTAATTTATGCACTAGTAGACAGTGAATATGTAAGTAAGCCTACATAACTAGCTAAATAATTAATCACAGAAGTGTGACATAGCAGAGTAAAAAAAAAAAAGATAGTGAGTTGACTGAAAACACATAGGCCTAGTAAGAAGAAGTAAAAGAAAGAGAAGCCCTTTTCTAATGCCTGCTGGGAAACTGTTTTGTTTAGTCAGTCCAGTTCTCCCGCTGATATCAGGGCTTTACCGGAATTCCATAATCAATGTGGATCTAGATCACTGTGATCCAGAGAGACAAAACTGCCACTGGAATGTCAGCCAGCAGAAGCACGCCAGAGAAACCTGGATTGGACTACAAGATGAGGGTGTGTAGTATGTGTGTCGAAGGTTTTGGAATATATCACACTGATCTCATTGTAATAATTATACCCCAAAAGGAGAATGCTCCGAGTCCCAATGAAAAACAGGAAGCTATCATATTTCTGTTTTCATTTCCTGAGTTTTTTCTTTCTTTAATGGAGCCATCTCGAGTTTTATCCTGTTCTCTCCCTCTCCCTCTCTGGGGAGTGAAAGTTTGGCTTAATGTTTCCAAGCCTGAACGAGATGCCAAAATTATTATTTCTTTCTTCTGACAAGCATTGTTTCAAAGATTCACCTATCTATCTAGCATCCATCCGTCCGTCTGTCTATCTGTTTTGTCTATTTATTGTTTCAAACCTAAACAGCTAAATTATTATTTTCTGTTTAATTTGAGAGACACATCTGTGCTACTAGAAATAAAGCATTATATTATATTTCTCTCTCTCTCTCTGTGTGTGTGTGTGTGCAAGTGAGAAATGGCTGCTTGAGTTTCAGTGACCTTCAGAAAAGTGGATTTTAAAACTGACGTATCACCCATATCCCTTTCCCACAAACACATGTTAGTCTTTGTCGGGGGTCTGGCTGGTTGAAGTGTTGTCAGGTCAATGCATCACTGGTAACAGAATCCCCCTCTTCTGGCTCTCCCGAGACTCACTTTAAAAGCTCCTTCAGTGTCGCCCCCCTCCCCCGAAACCTTTTATGAGTCAGTTTCCTTGAGTTCTGGCTGAGTGACTTACCTGTGCAGGTGAAGCTACCCGACAGACAGACAGTGTGTGTGAGTGTGAGATTGACTGTCACATTCAGGTTTGCCACCCGAGGCATTTCACAGCATTTTGTCTGTGCCAGAGAATACAACACTTTTGACATCAACACTTTTGACTCGATCTAGTCCAATATTCATTTATTTGCTTCATGGTTTGCAGTTGGAGATATGATTTAAACAGAACATCAGTGAACAGAAATTCATTAGTTATATCCAGAGCAGAGAATATCACTTTTTTTCATGTTTTATTCTGACCTTTAATTAAAAAAGTATTGACCTCAACCAAACATTTGAGATGTGTGTAGTGTAAAGATGCTTTTTAGCTTCTGCTTTCCCTTCAATGTGGTGAAGAAACTTCAATGTGAAGACTGAAACAACAAGATGTTTAATAATGACAATGTGGTTGAGGGTTTGATTAGCACTCTTAAAAGTAAAGTTTTTTTAATGGCATCAGAACCTTTAACATTCATGGAACCTTTCTATTGCACAAAAATGTCATTATAGAAAAAGGTTCTTTAGATTATTAAAATCTGTTCACTGAAAGGTTCTTTTGGAACTAAAAATGGTGAAAACCCCCTTTTGGAACCTGTTTTTAAGAATGTGTTTTTAAACTGTTACTCTGATACCAAAATGTGGTCTATATCAATCGGTTAAGAAAAAACAGAATTGGCTATTCAAAAATGAAATTTAGTATATGGATTTATCAGTGTCTTGGTTTGTAGAAAATTCCAACAAGAGGAAAGCAGATGTATAAGGAATGTTTATTTGTGCGAAATATTAGACTGTTGATTAAAACCACAGCTGATTTTTCAGCCTTTCAGGCAGGATTGGACATTGTTGGAAGAAAAATTCTATGGGTTCCTGAATTTAGGTCAGACAGGCACAATATGATATTTTGTAAAAATCACCTGTGTTTATGTTTTGTAAGAAGTGACAGGGAATAGCCTAATAAATATTCCTTTCAAATCTCTTAAGATAGATAGACAGACAGACAGACAGACAGACAGACTTTATTGAACTCCAACGGTAAATTTCTGCTGTGCAACACCCTGTGGCTCGAGGTTGGAAGGGTGTCCCCTTCGTTTTTGCAATCAAGCCCCTCTAAACCCGGAGAATGTTTCTAATTAGGGCCCGGAAACTCTCTGCGCTCTCTGTTCACAAGCATTTACACTGACACGAGAGAGACTATCGAGGTAAGCGAGACAGAAAGAGCTGATCACACAGCAGAATATTCCAGAAACTTTAGCTTTCCTATCCAGAGCTGCAAATGTATGCTCATTTTTCATCTAGGCCTATGTCTTAAAAATGTCAGCAAATCTGCGACAAATTAGATTTTTTTTTAATCTTCAGTTATTTTCCATTTGTTAAAAATTGTTTGGCAGTGTCTGTAGGCTATAGTTTTTAATCAAAAAGAAGAATAAGAAAAAGTTCACAATTGTTTTAAATTGGGTCGACGCTGTTTTGTAGCCTAGTGGTTTGGGTGGACGAGGCGTTTTGGGTGTAGGGTTTTTAGAGCGGAACGTGAGGATAGTTTCAATTCTCAGTGGCCCAGAACTAACAAAAAACAATTTTAACTTCTTAACTACAAGAAAGCAATACTTTCTCTCATTTTCAATCATTTTTGTCATAAGTCGGTCATTGTAATGAACTAATAAATGTTTATCAAACTTAACGTTAAGGCTTAAAGTGACTCAATGTGTGTGCGTGTGTGTTTGACCAGTTTTTTTGACTGAATAACGGTCAAAAAGTCAAACTCGGCCCTGCGCGCACCCTGGCGCCTTGGCGTCTCTCTGCCCCTCTGCTTAAGGGCCAATTTTTCTTGTTGACGTTTCAGGCGTTCTCATTTTTCACGCGCCCATGCCCTCTTCCGGCTTGGACGTGTCACGTGGATTGACATATTTTTATTATTTTGAGGCTTTGTTCTTATTTATTGTCGTCTTCTAATTTTTTTTTTATTAACACGCTCAAAGACAATGCTCAAAGTGTTGATGATGTGTCGAAGATTTTGACAATAGCCTATGTGATAAAAAAAAAACAAAAAAAAAACCTGATGTTGGAGAGCTACTGTTTTTAAAACTACAAGAATGTAGTAAATGTAGTGGATACACATTAGGCTGTTTTTAATAACAAAAAATAAGAACGAAACCAGTTTTCACATCCATAGTTTAGTTGCAGATGCTTGAAAGCCAATGTCTTTCTCATTAAAATCCCTGTTCTTAGAATACTGTCCAATACAGAACAATTTCTATAAATTAACTTTAATTAAAACATCATAAATTATTAAAAGTTTATGCATCCAACAATAGTGAGAATACTCTTAAATATTGGCCTCGCTGTTTTTACAAATTTAATGCACTTTTCCAGTAAACTCAAAATTCCGAAAAATCAGAGAAACTCTTTTAAAACTCCCCCTTTTCTAATCATTTGCAACAGAATAGTTTATATCAGCAAACGTCCTCTGCGTCATAAGAATATGCGGTAATGCCGTAAATATTGGTTATGTTTATAAGTCTTGTCGCTTAAAAATGTGAACGGGAAATCCTAAGATCCTAAATCCACAAGGCTGGATGTTAGAGATCCCAACAGTGAATCATGGATCTGATGCGGATGTCCTTGCATGCTGTGCACCGAATGCTGCGCACCGAGGCCGGGCATTGGGTATGCGGGAGCTACGGGAGTGTTGATGTTCCCCTGCAGGAGGAGCACGGGGTTGTGCTCGGGACTCTGCGGCGGAGAGTATTCATCCTCCGAGCTGGACATCAGCGACTTCACTCCGTCGAGGGGAGACCGCTGGCTCTGCTTACCGCCAACGCCGTTGTTCTCGCTGTTTTCTCTGTTGGATTACATTTTAACATATTTTATATGGGCCTAATTGACATGTCATAGGCCTAGAACTTGGCTACATATGAGCCTATTAGATAGTGTAAACTTTAACAAAGTGTTATGGTTTCAAAATAGTTTCACCTTACATCGGCTAAAGACAAACTGATGCATTATGTTTTTAAAAAATTGTTTAGCTACGCACTTATGTAGGTTAGGCCTACTTCGCTTATGTCAACATGTCTAAAAAGACAACTGTCATCATAGATTTAGAATTTTTCTAGAATTCGAGACGATTTTAGACTTAATGTAGTAGGCCTATTACAAAACGCAAATCAATATTTATACTGAATCAAACTTTCAAAATATGTTATTAAATTATACGAATATCTGAGCTTAAATAAATTCTCAGTACAATAAGAAAAAAAAATATCTTCCCTTTCTCTTGTTTCGTTCGTTAGAACAGAACTAGATTTTTTTATCCTAACCAAATATAAAAAAAAAACAGTGTTAATATAAAATATTTCTACAAATTATAAAATTAGATAGTTTGGGGGTTAAATGATTAGGGTTACATTTGAGTGACTACATTATCTTTTTAATATAGGCTATACATTTGTCAAATATTGTTGTTCTCACTGCGTGTGACTACAATAATTAACTATTTTTTCGCTTTTTATAAAAAAAAAAGTGTTCATGCACTTCAGTTTGCATACTCTCAAAAAACTGTAGCATTTATTTTATTGTTTATATATTTATTATTATTATTACTTTTAAAAAATCAAAATCTCACCTCTCTTTTGCCTCGGCTGCCCGGTCTCTTTGCCTCCTGTTTTTAAACCAGTTGCTGACCTGTGTTGTGGTCAGTCCCGTTGCGTCCGCCAACTCCCGCTTCTCCCTTGGAGATGGATAGGGATTGTGCGTGTACCATTCACGCAGCACACCCCGAGACTTCTCCTTAAAGCAGTAACTGGTCTCTTCGCCGTCCCAAATCGTACGGGGCAAAGGGAATTTCCTGCGCACTCGGTATTTGCCCACAGCGCCCAGCGGGCGGCCGCGCAATTTTTCCGCCTCCACATAGTGAGCCTTCAGCCACAGCTGCTGCAGCTTCGGGTGGTTGTGCGCGGAGTACTGGTGGCTTTCCAATATCTTGTAGAGCTCACGGAAATTTCCCCGGTGGAAGGCCACCACGGCCTTCGCTTTCAGCACGGATTCGTTCTTGTGGAGGTGGTCGCAGGCTGGCAGGGACCAGAGGAAACGTCCGAGCCTCTCCAGGTTCCCACCCTGCTGCAGCACCTCGCAGACGCACGCGACCTGCTCCTGCGTAAAGCCGAAAGAGGGCAAGATTGACATGGCGCCCCGATGGAATCCACCAAGTAATACCCTCCTAATCCAAGGCTCTGTGGGTATTCCTCTCCAATGAGCCCCGGGACAAAAAGCCCCGTGCCACGTTTATCTGTTGATGCAGCTCCAATATTAATAACCGTCTGTTATCCGGTTGTGTGGCACCACTGTCACTCCTCTGGGCTGCACACGTGAGATTCCGATGCGGTTTGTCCGTATGGATATATGACAGAGAAACCCAGCACAGCGTCATTCCGTGATTGGCTCGCCCCGGTCTGTTGTGGAACCGGCAGGCAGAGCAGAACTGCGTCTACAGATCCGTTCCGTTTCCTCCCCGGAGGGCGGACGTCAAGGCCTGAAACTGGAGACCTTGAACACACACACACACACACACACACATGCACACGCACATACTCACTCACATTATACCGTTGATAGGCCACTAATCAATTATTAAATGATCACAAGCACCTCCACAGCTTTGAATCCGCAGCATTTACATCGCCTTCTGTTTTCCTTGACATCACAGTATAGCTATGAATAGAGATAGGCTTATATTATTTTAATTATAAAATTATATGGTTTGCACTTATACCTTATTTTCAGTTATTAGCTATTATAGATTAATTCTATAATTTATAATTCTATACAAAAAACTAGAGCAATGTGTGCGCTTAATTGGGTGGCCTTTTCATAGCTTATCAATTTTGTATAGTGGGCCAGAAGGTTTGATGATGGATTCAAGAGTGTGTCCAAGATGCTTAAAGGGAGATGCAGAAAAGATATACATCTCTGAATTTCTTTTTTAATTCAGTCTCAGTTATCGTAAATTAGGTAAAGATATTCTAATACATTACTCCTGCCTTAGTTTTACTAATTAATACATGATAAAGGCAGCAATATCTATAATAATTAATAAATATGGAAATAATTTCATACGTGAGATAACATAGCATTCTGTCTTTCATGCGTCAAAATACGATATGAGGTAGGCCTATTATTTCTGCCAGTTGAACTTCCTGAAGGCATTGGGCTTGAGAAAGAATGACCTCAGTCTTATTATTTTAATTATGAATTTAATACAACGTCTTAAATCTATAGGCTACATGAATTCGACTTTAATTAGTGTTTCCTGATAACATATATAGTCATAAATTGCTTTGATTAATCCATTGTAAAGGCCTTAAAAATGTCACATAAATCTTAAAAAGGTTCCAATCAGAACTAATAAAAGTTAGGCCTATTCAGATTGATGCCATATAAAAACCTATAGGTTACAAAGTTAGGATTTATTTTAAAAACCGTGTATGTGATTTAAAGGACCATATACTGGCCTGCAGAACGTCCAATGAAACACCTAGAACTTCTTTTATCTCTTCTTTTAATTCAAGAACACTAACACCTTTCCCGAATCTATTAGGCCTATCTATTAAAGAAACTTTTTGTATCAGTGCATATTGTGTTTTATTTTTTTAATAATTATATTTAGTTGAAAATAAAATACCCCGTCGTTGAAGCATTTGGTCTGTGTGGTTTTGTAAGGTGGGTCTGTAACACTATACCGATCCATTAGCGAATAACTTGTGAGCTTGACGAGCTCTTAGTCTCCCGGTCACAGCTCTTTATCTCTCAAGATATCCGTAACATGACACCGGGAAATCCAGCTGGTCCGCCTGAGGCTGTTTATTATTTTTTTATATTACTTTTTTTCTATACATTTTAGAACGTTGTGAGGATTTTGGACTTTAAATATCCCCTAATGCTAATTAGTATCTGTGTAATCTTTAATTGGCCCCCTTAACACCTGTGAAAACAATCATTCGTGTTCAGTCGAACCTGGGCGTTATCCGCCCCCTCTTTTTTTTCTTAATGGTTTTTAATGCCTTTGAACAGTTTACTCAGCAAGCAGATGTTAACTGCATTTTAGAATAATCTACTTCTAATTCTATGGGAATCAGAATTGTAAATAAATTCTTCATCTGAGCTCCTGAGTCTTTGAATAAAACAAAACACATACATATTGCATAGTTTTTATAACATCACACTTTGTTTAAATTAATCACGAATTATACACCTAGATTAAGTAAATATTAATTATTTTTGTAAATGCACAGTAATGTGAAGTGTGATCAATATAATTCTATGTGCATAAATATATTCTAAAATGTCTAAATTTGTGCATAAATGCTGTCTAAAACGGTCTCCTTGGCTCTGTCCTGAACTGTACGTGGGTCGATGGCTTCTCTGCTCAGGTTACGGTATGTCCAGCACAATGCACCCCCTCCATCACACCAGATCCTCTACCAGCCCCCAGGACGGCGTCGTGCCCGCTCTCAGTTCATGATCATTTCAAGATGTTATGGACTAACAGAAGCGCGCGCGCTCAGGGCGCACAGCGCGGCCCCGACGTTGCCATTGAGTTGTGATGATACAGGGTGAGGGGGCGCGCTCACACACACACACACGCACAAAACATCCTAATAAGTGCAACATAAATGTCACCATATTTCATGTTTAGTAGTCCGTGCTCCACCACTGTGAAGGTGTAAACTGTTTTCTTTTCACTGAGTGTGTGTTTATGAGTTTTCTGTGAGGTGTAAATGAAAGACTGAGCGGAGGAGAATCCACCGCTAATTAGACGTTGTTGCAGCCGGTTGAGGGGGGAAGAACAATCCAGTACTATTGCGTATTATCAGTTAAAGGAATATTGATCAGATAATGGAGCTTTTTATTTTAATTCGTTTTAAACAGCAGGATTTTTTTCAATAACACTTGCATTGTTGAATGCATTTTAAACATTTGCATTTGTTTTGTCTGCATGCCTGAGATGCAGGGGCGAATAACCGACTGTAATTATGCAACAAAGTCATACTATATAGGCCCATATTGACTTGATTTGTCATGTAGAACGTCAAAAACGTTAAAAAATAGCATATTCTAATTATTCTTTCACATAAGTTAGTCTGAACTAAAATTATTTGAATACTTTGATTGTTTCTGATTTGGATATACACGAAAATATTACCTAATCAAAAAGAGTGTCGTTGCTTCCTTTAATTTTTTAAAAGTAAAATTAGTTTCGACCAATTTGGATTTAATTAATGGTCAATCAAGCTGAAAAATTAAAATGAGATTGAAATGATTAGAATAGAATATAAATATAATAGAATAAGTTAAATGCAGAAACGGCAAGATTTTCTTTGATTTGATTTGATTTGATTTCTTAGACAAATTAATAGTGAAAAATAGCCTACACTCATTTGTCAAGGATAACACAATAAAGTAAAAAAAAAAAAAAAAAACTTGCTTCCATTGTGGTCCTTGATGTAAAGCACATCGTGTTGATTACATTGTGTTTACAGTGCATTGCGATGGAGAGAATGTAACTTTCTTTCTTTTTTAGTCATTTGAGGATTCTAAAAAGCAATCCGGTGATGAGATTGAGAAGATGACATATTTGAAACTAAACACGAAATATATTTGTGTATTTACACAGAAAATAATTAGACATATTCATCAAACGTAATGGGAATTGTTTTATGATGGCATATTTTATTTAAACAGGCTCAATACCAATACATCTTAAAGGAGAAAAACAATATATTACTTGCACAATAAATCCAAATACATCCATGGCAATCTCCAAACTCAAAGTGTCATATTTCGTACTACAGGAAGAGGGCGCCAGCCAGTGACATCTTTCTGTTTTTGCCATAAATAAACAGTGATGAAATGCCTTCTGTTAAATATTTATGATCTATTTCATGTAGCCTACTTTATATATATATATATATATATATAGTACTTTACATCATATTTTTTGCTTAGTTTGTCACTGTAAGGGATTGTTGGTTTTCACTTAGAAAAAGCAAGTAACCTGGTTGCCTTAAAATTTAAAGTTCATTAAAATAATTTTTTTTAGTTAAAACAACGAAGGACATTGGTTTAATCAACAGCAACTCCAAATATTATGTTGTCTGAACCACATGAATTATCTAAGTTGTTTTGACAAAAAAAAAGTGATAACAAATCATGAATATATATATATATATATATATATATATATATATATATATATATATATATATATATATATATATATATATATATATATATATATATATATATATATATTACAGTGTGTGTGTGTCTTGTTTTTATGTTCTTCTATTCACACTGCAGATGAGATTTCAGCTCAGAATCTGGAACAACAAGGTAAAACTCATTGAATGAATTCAAGAATAATGTCTGTCCTGCACTCTTACAAAGTGGTGTGTGTGGGCTGTCAGAAGAAGTAATGAAAAAAACAGTTGTGCTCTCTCACTCTGTGGTCCAATTTCACCAGGGGCACAGATTAACCCCTGTCTGTGTGTGTGTGTGTGTGTGCATGTTTCACTGAAATCCTTATGCTTATCCTCTTAATAATACGTGCCATTCAATCACCTTTCTTTCTATCTAACTGATGACATACCACATACTTTGTTTTATTTTAAGACAATTGCATCTTTTTGAATTGTAGCAGCCCACAGCTGTTTGCAGAAACACAAGTTTAGCAATATCCGAAAAGTACTAGTGGCCTGATACTGCACAAAACGTGTGCTGTATGCATGAAAAATTTACCTCTCCTTCCCTCTCTCTCTCTCTCTCTCTCTCTCTCTCTCTCTCTCTCTCTCTCTCTCTCTCTCTCTCTCTCTCTCTCTCTCTCTCTCTCTCTCTCTCTCTCTCTCTCTCTCTCTCTCTCTCTCTCTCTCTCTCTCTATGCAGGCATACCAAAGAAATTGTGCAAGGCTGCAGAGGTCAAAGGTCAGTAAAGATGAATGACAGGATGACAGACTCATATCCCTAAAGGCAAAGAATGCAAGTTTGATGACACGATTTGATATTATTCAGGCTTATAAGCAGTTAGTTGTAGTTCAGGTTCAACTTGTATGAGTTTAATTGCGTTTATGCACATCAGCCAGACCTGATCTGCTCAGCTTTAGACTTCAAACTGAGGGGAAATGGTTGCTATTCACATTCCCTCGTCAGCAAGTATATCTGGCACTCTGCATTTACATTTACACATTCACACTTATTGGTCTGGTTCATATAATTCTCTCTCTTACACACACACACGCAGGTATGAGACAGCTGAGGAGCAGCGTGTGCCCTTTCACCTCTCATTAGTGGGGGCGTGGGGGGAGGTTCAGGTTACAAATCCAGCTCTGTTTGCTATTCAGGGTTAAGTCCCCCCTCTTTCTGAAACCCCCAAAGGTGAGAGGTCATAGTTTTTAATAAGGCTAAGTTTGAGAGGTTCATAATTTTTTTTTATTACTGCTTCTCATTGATGGTCAGTGTGAGGTAGTTTGAGTAGTTTCGATCACAATCACTTTTTTCTTTGCAAGTTGTTAATGC